AGAAGGAAGGAGAAGGAAGGAGAAGGAAGGAGAAGGAAGGAGAAGGAGTAGCACCATTGTTAAAATCTAAAGACCCTAACCTGGCAGGTGGGGAAAAACAGCTGCCTTCAACAAGCTTCTAGGAATCATGTCCCTGTGGAGCTGACATCAACTATCCAGGGTTGACGCCCCAGTGTATCTTGGTTGCTCTCTCACGTTTTCTATGAATAACGGCTATTGAACATCTGGCTCATTCAAGAAAAAAATTAAGGCAAACATGCTTCTAAGCCAGAGTTTCTCTGACTTGATTGTTCGAGTCTTTTCCACCGCAAAAAAACACCGCGTTTGTGGAAATCTGGCACCCTTTAAAGTGCTTGGGATTCGAGTGGTGTGAGCAAGGAAACAAAGGCGAACCTTATATACCAGTACAAGTGGCAGTATACTGCAACTTTTTGCCATGACCATCGTAGGATGGTCGCTCCATTCAATGAGTTGCTCACGTCTTGCTCACCCCGTTTCTTCGAATGTCGGCTTTGCTGGTGATCGGGACAACAGCCTTGGGTTCCGTCATAGACTCATAGGCTTTGGATGGCCGGATTAGTTCCCCACACACTACTGTAAAAGCACTCTTGGTCGTTGGCATCAAAGGAATCATGTGCAGCTATACATTCAATTTACATGTTCAAAATGTGTCAGTTACAACCTCCACTGGACTGCTTGAGCAACATTCAAGTTCGCCAAAAGACAAGGCAAGTAGTTCAAGAAACCCTTGTCAGCGTTCTTTTCGGTGTGTGAGGCTTGTTTCGAAGGTCAAGGTCAAGCGGCAATACCGCCATCTCTCTACAGAGTTGCTCAGTACGACCATGCAACCCCCCCAAAAGGACCATGTCGCCCGGGACCATGTCGCTAGGGATACCGGTCCCGGCCGCTACGACTGCCGGGTTTTGGGGAGTGTAGCTTCAACTTGGTACATGATTTTCTTGCATGAGGCCTGAGACTATTTAATATATCGCCAAATGCTTCAGGTCAAAGGGAAATCGAGTCCTTTCAACACAGTTGTTGATTAGGTTTGCTTTCAACTCACATAACCATCCTTGTTAAAGAAGCATCAAGATCCTTCAGGTTCAATTGGCGGCATCACCTCGTTCACCTCTCTCGCGAACGACGCGTTCGTGGAAAAAGCGGGACCGCATATATCCGCATATGGGCTGGGCCCGCTCGCGTCACGTGGTAGGCTCCATCTCTCAAGGAACTACGCCCTGGGAGTGACAGTTCATGTTGTCAAATGTTTTTCAAAAGCCCAGATTGGCCGGCCTCCAACCTACTAGCAATGGCCTCCAACCTAATAGCGATGTCCAGGTTGCTTTTCAAAGCAAACGGTACTGGAGTTTGAACCCACATCGAGGCGGAGTTTTGAATCCAGTCTGTCGCTTCTCGAGAGCCTTCGCTGAACTGCCCGAGGAAGGGCGAGCCACAGCGAGTGACGCTGCGAACCGAACGCGCTATCGGTCGCCCCCGCGCTACTGGTTACAGCACAGCGAAAAAGGAAGAGACCGAAGCAAAAGGCCGACGCCTTTCTGCAAGATCTTGCTGTCAAATGCTGTCAACATTGATCTATTTTGTGGGTCCCCCCTGTCCCGGACATTCGTCTACCTTTGCTTCTTGCAGCTCTGGGCTGTACATGTTGTGAAAAACTTACCAAGCCTTTGGCCATTGGCTCTCCGATAATTATTTCAGAGGCCTCCTCCATGTTGCCCGCCACCTGATATATGATATCTTTCTGTCGTATCACGACACTCCTAGATGGTGTCGAAATCCTTCCAATCGGGGCTGCATCCACAACAAGGGGCCAAAACATCCTTTGGCTGACATTCAGGCTTACATTCCAAGCACAGAACCTCAGATGCACTCCAAAATCTGCCATGCAGTGGTCGACCATGGTTCTTTGGCTGGGGATGGCCCTTCAGCTATCTTCTGTTAGCCACACCAAACCCCTCAACCAATGTCGTCAAAGTTTCAAACCTCGGCAACTCAAACCTTCTCAGGTTGCAAGCGGTGAACCCGGACGGCAAGCCGTCGATCCGGAGGCTTGCCAGAGGATGTGCGAAAGTGCATGTGGCTCAAATGTTGAGTTAGGGAATCCAAACTTCTAGAATATTGTAATGTTGAGAGTCAGAAACTCTTGGCTCAAATCTGGATACAGTACTTGGATCCCTGCCAGAATCTCCAACCTGTGAACCGATCCTCTAACCTCGCAAGGTGACTTCTCGCACCGAGAAATCACATTCGCGTCACAGGCGCATCTCGGTGAAGTCCTGTGGGGCACGAGCAGTAATATGGACTGGCAGACTCTGGATGAATAAAACCTCCATATGAAGAGGTTGTTCAATCTAGGCATCTTGGCCCAAAGCCATTTGCCTTAGGGCACGCCGGGTTCCCGCGGCTCTGCTGCCTGTCTCCCGACAGGGGTGGAGCGTCCACCAAGGCCGTTGGCCGACTCGCCTGTGAGCTTCGTTGTGCCTCACGACCGTTAGTGCCATGGTTGGATCTTTTGACCATTTGCTGCAGGACGCTGAGCACCTGGAGGACCCTTGGAGAGGCCGATTGATTTCCTTTTTGGAGGCTCATCGTTCAGCTGGTCACCTGCTGCATGTTGGTGATAGGATCCTCCTTGTTGGAAAGGTCGAAGCTGTGACAGATGCGGTGATTGAGATTGCACCTCTGGAATTTTGTCCGGGCCGTGGATTTGCTGAACCTACGGGGGGACAAAACAAGATTCGAATCTATGTGCCTGGGCTGAGCCGGAGATCAGCTTTGCCCGTTGTGGATGATGAGATTCTTTGCCATGGGAAACAAATCCGCACAGAGTGTTGGGATGCTCTTGCATTGGCGGAGGACACCATCATTATTCCCCGTGCTCATTTCAAGCCGCATGAACCTTTTCATGTGCTGCACTTATTTGCAGGAGGATTCGGTGGCTGGTCCCGGGCTATGCACTGGCTTGCCAGAGAGGTTCCGCACATCAGCATTGCCACCGAGCTTTTCGTGGACAACGACGACAAGGTGATGGATGTGTGGTCCTACCAGACAGGATTGAGATACCACAGAGGCAAATCAGTGAGTGCTGGACAGGTGAACTTAGCTGCCAAAGCTGGCCTGTGTACGAGCGTTGATGATCCCACGATCCTGCATTGTTGGAAATGTGCAAGCAACTCCGTTGCAACCGCTTCACCACCCTGCATTTCGTGGTCGCAAGGCGGCAAACGCCAGGGCTTGAGCTGTTCCAGCGGTTTCGCGATGGCTGAAACAGTCATGCTTGCTGAAGTGCACCAACCACTTCTCCTGTTTTTGGAGTGTGCAGATACCACAGTCTCACACGAGCATTTCCCCTTAGTGGAGAACATGTTGCATCTTATTGGGTACCGTAAGGTTTGGCACCAAGTTGTTGCAATGCACCACTTGTCCAATAACTCTCGCTCCAGATGGCTTGCAGTTTGGGCTCGTGTGGATTTAGCCCTTCGACCCCATGAAGCAAACTTCGACCTTCGGGCACCGCCACTGGTAAAATGGAATGATCCATCCAATGAATTTTGGACCCCAGAATCTTTCCACTGCCAGCTTCAATTGTCAGCGGAGGCACTTTCGAAATACGGAAACCCAGGGTTACTCCCACCTGCCAAACGTGCCAGGACCAATGCTGAGACCTCCACGCAGGAGACGCTTCAACTGAGGCTTGCTGACACCACTCAGCCCTTGCCGACCTTGTGCAGTTCATACACCAGGCAACACCTTTTGCAAGCTGAACATGTCATGGCCAAGGGCATTTTCGCTTCGTTGCAGATCGTTGCCGATAAAGTGTGCTTCTTATGCCCTACACGGTTTGTCCCACTGTTCGGCACTACAGACCAGATTGTACTTCCGAGTGATGCATCCTTTGCATTCCACATCCTTGGAAACGCCATCACTCAATCACAGGCGACCTTGTGCCTTGCTGTTGGGTTTCAAGCGCTCCTTGCTGAGGACCTGGCACCAGTACAACTTGTTCAAAAGGCGTGGGAACAGCGTCTCACCAGTCAGAATGCCCTTGTGCAAGTCTTCGAACAGTGGCTCACCACCGGCAGGGTCGAGGACATTGCTGCCTGCATGGTACCAAGGACCTTGCCCTTGTCCTTTGATGGTCCTTTGATTTCGCTAGAGATTGAACACTGCCACAACCAGATGACATGGCAAGCAAAAGTCCCACCCAAGACTTCCTTGTCCACCGCTGTCATTCTTACGATGTTCACCAAAGGAATCATGCCTGAAGCCTTTCGCTTTCGCACTAAGGACCACATGCTGCTCAGTGACATTACACTGAAGGATGCTTTCGCTGTCACTCCGCAGGTCCTATGTTTCATTTGGGACCGTCCCCTGGTTTCTTTTCGGCCTGTCTCTGCGTGTCCACATGAGAGTTCTGCATCAGATGCTGTGGGGTCTCCGACTCTGCCCTTCACTGTGCCAGGCGAGGATTCACAACCCATCACGATTGAGACTTCACCACCGGTTCAACCTGCTCCTGAGGCCTTCCAGGCACTGCTGCGTTTTCTTGAGTTCAACACTCATTGGCACCCTGCCTCCAATCGATCCAAGCAATTGGTCTCCCTCCTTTGGGAAGCTCCACCTGGCGTGCTTACCGTCCAGCTTGACACCATTGTCCCGGCTGCGGACCTCCAAGAGCAACTTGCCACCCACTTTGGTGCTGGCACCTACACCGTGTTCCAGAGCCCATTCGCTCTCCCAAAGATTGCACCAGGACCTCTCTTCACTGTGAGGCTCCGCAATCATCCCAATGATGCGCTGGTTGTTTTCCAGAAACTCCAAACCGAAGTTTGGGTTCGAGTTGCAGCAGTCCCCAAGCAGATCCCACATGACACCTGCATCATCGCTGGTGACGGTAACTACACCATTTGCAGTCACAACAACAGGCCATGCTCTGTGGGACCACTCCACATTGCCAATGGTGACCTCTTGATCATTGAGCCTACTCCGACCATCCACGCTGGGGGCCACCATCGTTGGACGGAGAGACCAGAAAGCCTCCCACGTGGGGCCACCTTCACTGACAGGATCGCCTTTGCGATCAACACACATGGGTGGGTTGCTTCGGACGAACTCCACTCCGCCATGACATACCTGACCAGGCACTTCCCCGAGACCATTGCTGAGTTCAACCTCCTGCGATGGAACTCTGACGGACACGAATTTGATGATGAGCTCTACGGAGAACCCAGATTTGCAAGCGCAGGCAGAACGGTCACGGCAATTCTTGTCGACAATCACTGGGCCTCCATTGAAGTCAACCGGATGGGCAATCTCATTCAGGTCCACGCTTTCGGGCTAACTCCACCGCTCGCCAATCGAGCCATCATCATCATGTGCCGCCTCCTTGATATCGCTCCACACCGTGCCCAGCAACACATCCATGCAGGGCTACCACCAGAACATCTCTGCGGCTGGTTCTTGCTCTTTCGCTACTACAGAATACGCCGCATCCATGATACGCTTCCCAGCTCTGTCGAGCTCTTCAACGAGCTGCCGCCAACCCGAAGAGCCGAAATCAGGGAGGCTTGGGAATCCGGCCAAGAAGACTGGAGAAGAGCGGGCGCCAATGATGGCCTACTCCTCTTTGCAACCAACTTGAGGACACACTTCCTCACACATCTCGCTGCCACGGCCACCCAGACCTCGTCGGTCGTGCCGGTACCATTATCAGTCCAATTCCGAGCCCAGACCTTGACCCCTGAGACGCAACCGCCAGCGTCTCAGCCATCTCCACCGGAGGATCCAGCACCACTCGAAACAACACTGGGATCAACAGAACAACCGGAACCAGAACCTGTTCGGCATGACCCTGTCCACCACAGACTCCTTGAATGCCTTCAGCAACCTGGCTGGCTTTCTTCGGATGTGCTTGATCATGCCCTGGACTTGCTTCGGTGGCAGTTCCCACAGGTCTGCTTCTGCCCACCTGCTGTTTGGAGACCTGAGTTGCTTCAGGTATCTTACCTCGCAGGCTTGGAATGTCTTCCTGAGACTTTCAGCAACCTCATTGTGTTCATTCTGTGGCAGGAGCATTGGATTGTGTGTGAAGTGACTGTTCATGCGTGGGAAGCCTTCGTCCAAACCATTGGACCCATCGAGCTCATGCCTGACCTTACCAGCATTGTTGCTGCAGTGTGCATGCTGTTTCAAATCCAGGATGTTGTCCTCAACACTGCCACCACTCACTTTCGCGCCTTGCCTGGTTTGCGCGGATGGACTTTGCTTTGGACTTTGTTCCAACGATTCCAAACGCGACCCTCTCAGGCATCACAACCACTGCTTGCTGCTTTGAGGGCACACCCTCACTATGAGCTTATCCAACAGATCCAGTTGCGTGACCATGCTGTCTGGGAAAATGCTGAACCGGCGTTGCTCGAGTTTGCCTCAGCTATCCAACTTGAGTTCATGACGCGCATCATCCAGAATCGCGTCCCCTCCGAGCGAGCAAGAGGTGGAGCTCTTACGGATGTCTCTTCTAGCAGTGCTCCTGTTACCATCGGCAGCCACCCTGTCAGTGCTTTGCCTGCCTCTCGTGTCTTTGATCGGCTTCAGCTGTTTGACACGCAGCCAGGATGGCTTTTCTCTGACACTGCTGACTACTTGCTCGATTTCCTGCGGCAACATGATCCGGATACTGCGTACCTTCCTCCCATGCAATGGACTTTTGAAGGTGGTGCCACTACCTTCAACGACTTGCAGACCTCCGTCCATTCATATCAGAAGATCATTGGCCTTGTTTTGTGGAACACACATTGGATTTTGTGTGAAGTGCAATCCACTGTTTGTGCGCGGTGGATCTTCCTTACCGGCCCTGCTGAACTTCGACCGCATTCGATTGCCTGTGCAACAGCCATTTGCGAGCATCTTGGCATTGATCCTGTCCCACACATCGTGTTTCGGGATTTTCAAGCTGATCCTCACCTGTGCGGTTGGACACTTCTCTGGCTTTGCTTTCAGAAGGCAGGGGTTGAGATCCATCACCCAGGACCATTGCAAGAGAGTAGTTTCTTGCCCAGCATTCATCATGCTGAAGTTCAACGAGTTCTCACCAATGCAGCAGCAGCGTGGCAACAACCAGTGATCCACCAAGCAGCGCTCTTTGCCATGCGCATGCTTCCATGGCACCTCTTGCAGGTCCTTCAAGGCCGTTTTCCCAAGCACCAGGCTCCCGGAGGAGCAGGAGAAGCAAAGGCTGCTGCCAAGGCCAAGAATAGCCAGAGATCAGGTACTGATCCGCTCATTGCCCACGACCCATGGGCTAAAGCAGCCGCTGTGTCATCTCGCTGGGAAGATCTCAAGCTCGAGGACCATCACCCTTTCCAGGATGCCAAAGGCGAGCAGTTATGGCAATACCATAGGCTCCAAACCACGATGACTACAAAAGGTGTGGTGCTCACAACAAAGCAATATTTGCCAGAGCTCATCAAGCTCAGCCCCAAGCAGCCATTGGTTGCGATTCTGCCACTGATTGATCAGCAAACCAAAGTCAGCAGTGCTCTCACCTTCCATGGCCCCTTCGAAGTTGTGCTGGAAGATCGGGCCACCAAGGCCTCGTACAAACGCGTGGTTTCTGCTGTTGCACTTTGTGGAGAGTTCCAATTCAAGTTGAGTGAACCAGCATGCGAATTTACTATGTCGGAAGTGGCAGAGGTTGTGCTGGAGCTTGATTCGAGATTGGTCAACAAGGCAGAATTTGACCGAGCGCAAGACAATCCCATCTGGTTCTTCAAGCAGTACCTCACCAATGCAGCGCCAGATCACGTGAATCATGCCTCGGTCTACGGCTTTCGTCACAACCGGCATCCATCGTCCTCACGTGATGATGATCAGTTACAAGTCCTTGCAAAGCTGCCCTGCCCAGCACGGGCCAAATTGTTGACCAGCAGTGGAACACAGGGCATCCTGGTGAGAGATTTTCTCGACCAAGGAACCCAGCCGACTGACACCACAGTGATTCCCAAATTTTGGGAAGTCAGCCTCAAAGGCCTTCGGGAGCTCAACATCAGCATTGAGGGCTTGAAAGGAGCTGCTGGTGCCACTCTTACAAGGCGTGGCCTGGCTGTACGAGCATGGTGTGTTGACATCGCAGATGTGCGAAGGAAGTTGTTGCCAATGGATGCCCGCCTGAATGACACCAACATCAAGGTGGTACCCAGGTTCATGGTCGATGCCTCAGGCTGGCCGCCCGGGGCAAGCCCCGCAGATGTCATCGAAACTGTTGCAAAGGCTGTCAGCCAGCCCCCTATTCCGACAAGAACTTTCCGTGCGGCAGGAGTTCATACGTGGCAACTCGGCTTTCAGACGTTGCCTACAGTCTTGACTTTCACCGTCAAGATCAACGGGGCCTTGCATCAGATTCTGCTGACACCAACACCCCAGTTTGCAAAAGGGGGTGGAAAGGGAAAAAACCGGCAACCCAAGAAAGCAGCGCCCAAGGAGGATGGGCCTTCCCCTCCTGCTGCTTCCACCATTGCCGCAGCATCAGCACAGCATGAGAAGAAGCGCTTGGATCATCTCGAAACCCGTTTTGAGACCCTACAAAAGCAGGTCTGCGGCATCGAGAACGAGCAAACCACACTCGAGAGCAAACTCGATCAGCGCTTCAATGACATTGGCGACACACTCCGCCAGCTGGTCCAGCTGAGTTCGCAGCGAACTCATGAATCTACTGGCGACACACCGCCTCCCAAGACACAGCGCACGCTGTGAACCAACGGGGCAGCCTGTCCCTCTGCCGGCGAGCAACCTGTTCTCTCCTGTTTTATGTGCTCCTGGCACTTCTTTTGTGTTCGTCTGTTGCTTCTGGCCTTGGACTTGCTGCCGTGGATTTTGGTCATCTCATTGCTTTGCTGTGTGGCAAGCAAATTCTTGATTTGTTCAACTTGCGAGCTGAAACGAGCTCCGTTAATGCTATGCCCCTTGTCGCTTGATCTTGTGTCCGGTTCCTTCGATTTCTTTGTCTGTCTTGCAAGCGTCCGTGGGCTGGACTTGCCCTGCCGAGCATGTCCTTACAACCTTTGCACTGCAGGTCCATTTCGATCCGCTAATTCACTAAGGGGATTTGCCAGCAGTTTTCTCAACAGACCTTTCGCTCACAGTCGAAAACAATGCGTTTTTGCCCCCTCGGAGATGCAGGGCTGTCTTGGTGCGTGCGATTTCCACTTTCACCCTAAGGGTTCTTGTGGTTTCTCTACACATGGGTGTGTTTGTTGCATCTTCGTTTCACGGTCCATCCATTTTCCCCAGTCCTTTGATGCCACATTGGGCTTCCCTGGCGAGGGCCCACCACCTTCGCAGCGTTGGTCCATCTTTTCTGCAAATATCGGGTCGCTCAAGACTGCTGTTAGTTGGAAAACTTGGGACTCTGCAATCACTTGTATGCAAGAAACTCGTATAGGCAAGAATTGCATCAATTCCGCACGCCACAACGTGGCTCAGTCAAGGAAGACATTTTTTCCCGGCGCCCTTCTCCCGGGTCTTTTCGCCTCTAATGGCGTTCGTCGAACACCGCATGGGGGCGTTGGGATTGCCGCACCTGCTGAACTGACTATCCCCTTCACAAATCAAGAAGATGCTTCCGGGAAATACGAGGCCCTTTTTCGTTCCAAAAGGGTTCAAGCCGTGTGGATCCAGGTCTCTCCCTCCTTGAAGGCCCTGGTTTTCAATATTTACTGTAAAACCGGTGCCAGTCAAGATAAGGACATTCTCTTGACCAATGATGCTGTTTTGGCCGATGTCTTCCTCATCATCAGTCAATTTGGGGACATCCCTGCCTTTGTTGCGGGTGACTTTCAAACTGAGCCCATGCAATATCCTGCTGTCGCTAATGCCGTTAATTTTCACCAATGGGTCGATCCTGTTGATCAGCTTTCCGGAGACAACACCAATCGGCCCATTACCTTTTCGGCTAATGGAACCTTTTCTGGCTTCGGCGATGGTTGTTCCAGCATTGATGCCATTTTGGCAAATAGGGTCGCCTCCTCGGCCATCCTTGAAGCTGAAGTTCTTTCGTATTTCAAAGTTCAACACCGACCTATTCGGTTGACTCTTGCCTGGGACAGAATTTGGCAGATTGGGTACACGCTCCACAAGACTGCACCTTTTGTGTGGGACTCCCATTCCCTTTCCACCCAAGGGTCCGTTGACGAACACCCACCCTGGGATCAAGGGGACGATGTTGAGACTTGCTGGAATCGCACCAACTCCGCTTGCATTCAAGTCATGCTTGATTCAGGGGCCACCTGGGGATCCGGTCCCCAAACAAGAGGCCAACCTATCCAATTTCGCCCCAAGAAGGTTTGCCCTGGTCAACTTTTGAACGGTCATGCTACCAACTTGGTTTGCTCGTGGCTGCACAATGCCCTTGGGGGCCTTCGTGAAATTGAGATCTTTCTTACCCGTAATCTCCGCGGTGACACCAATCGATGGATTCAGCACCGCACCTTCGTTAGGGTTTGGAACCGCCTCGCCAGGCTTCGTGCGCCAATTTTGTGGCCGTCGTCCCGGAGACCCACACTCGTCGAAGTGACTGTCGCCATTCAGTGGGTCCAAGACCAGATTGCAGTTGGGGAACTTAAGCTCAAAATCAAACGCATCCAAGCATGGAAGCAGAAGATTCAAGACTCCGCGAAGATTGGGTCCGCCTTCCTTTTTCATCACCTCAAGAACAAAGTCTCTACGGAGCCTGCAAACTTGGTCATTGATCAACAAGGGAACGCCATTTTTGACCCCCAAAGCGCTTTGACGGAGATCAATAATCAGTGGGACCCCATTTTCAGTGCCAACTTGGGTTTTCCCCCTGCTATTAAGATGCTCGACATTGTGTGGCCACACATCCACCACTTTCACTATGACTACCCCGTTCCGGACATCACAGGTAGCGCCCTAAAGCAGGTCGTCCACAAGAGGAAAAAAACAGCTGCACCTGGGCTCGATGGATGGCGCACCACAGAAATGCAACACCTTCCGTGCGCTTGCTTTGACTGGTTCGCCGCTCTCTTTAGCCGCCTTGAAGAATCCGATGAACCACTTCCCCGTGTTATGGCAACCGCTCGACAAATAATCCTCAACAAGAACGGTAGTTCTGAACCTCTGCAGAAGAGGCTCATTACTTTACTTCCTGTCATTTTGCTTGCGTACACGGGTGCACGTTTCATTCATCTCAAGGAATGGCAGATGTGCATCATGCCTGATCAATTGCAAGGGGGAATTCCACAGCGCCACATGGCTGCGATTCACACCCAGTTTGCTATCACTCTTGAACACATGCGGCACGAGCAATGTGACTTGATTGGGGTTAAAATCGATAAAGCAAAATGTTTTGACCGCATTATCCCTGAATATGCTGGCGCATTAATGCTTGCTTTCGGAGTCCCCAGATGTGTTGTCTCGTTCTTCCTGAAGCTGTATCAGGGCTTAACGAAACACCTCTCATACAAGTCATGGGTCCAGCCGGCGCCCACACACGGACCGAACGGTGTTGCACAAGGTTGTAGCCTTTCGCTCATTGCCATTAATGTGCACATGAAAGCATGGGTCCATTTACTCGCAGTCCTGCCAAATGTCACAGCACAGGCTTTTGTTGATGACGCCTACCTGTGGGTTCGCTTAATCCATAAGCATGATTTAGTCCAGGCCATACATATCACACAGTCTTGGGATGCCTTGGTCGGCCAAGCCATGAACTGGTCCAAATGTACTGTGTGGGGATCCTCCACGGAGGCCCGGAAATGCATTAAGCACCTTTTTCCTAACATGCGATTTGCCCTTGAACTTGAAGTCCTTGGCGTTCATGTTCAGACCAGTTTTCGTAATGCTTCTCATTTCTCGGATGATAAGCTTGCTAAAATTATTGCTGATGTTCGGAATATTGCTTGTTTGCCAATTTCCATTGCCCAGAAGGCCAAAATCATCGGTGCAAAAGTGATCCCACAGTGCACATATAATGCCGCCATCAACCAAATTCCAGCGCGTGCCCTTGCGCGCATACAGGGTGAAATTGTGACAACTCTCTGGAACAACCGACCACATTGGCGTGCAAAGTTTCTTGTTTTTGCCTTTTTGTGCAAGCCTCACCGTGTCGAGCCTATGTGTGCCAGGCACTATAATGCTATCCTGGACTTATGTAGGTATCTCCATCTCTTTCCTGGGGAACGAACCAGATTTGATCACCTACTAAGCCATAACAAGAAAATGCAAGGTACCCTGACGGGCAAGATTCAGGAAGCTTTTCGCTTTTTTGGCCTTGAATTGAGCAATGATGGTGACATACGACTGGCTGGCGCCTTCCTTTGTCGCCTTGACCAGCTGTGCCCACGGGACGTTCGCCCCGTTCTACAGCAACTCGCCAGACATGCTTGTTACTCCTTGGCCAGTCAACAAAGTAGGAAAGACTTTCGGGCACCTGAAGGCTTTCTTGATTTTTGGCTCTCCACGTCCTTTTCCCGGCAAAAAGAAGAGCACAATGATGACATTCCCCAGAAAGCCTTTTTTGAGGCCCAGCTTGTCGGGTGTGTCCTTACCAAAGATCGCCTTGCTGCCGCTAAGAGGATCCCTGATCCCACATGTCGCTTGTGTCAGGGAACCAAGGAATCACTTCCTCATCTAGTCAGAGAGTGTCAGGGTATTCGTGAACTCCATGGCCCTCCACCTGTTCATGAGCTTGGCCCCAATTTCGAGCTCTTGGGTATTGTTGAGCACCCCACATCGATCCTTGCTCACCGTTTGCAAGTTTCTGACCCTAAACAACTCGAGATTGCACCTTGGAACCCGGGTCAGCCCCAGGTGACGATGTGGACAGACGGCTCCGTGCAATGGCCGTCCCATTTCATTGTCAGTTGTGCTGGTTTTTCCATTGTTCGCCATGATGGTAGTGTTTTGCAATCCGGCCCTGTACACCACTGGAACCTCTCAAGCTATACAGCCGAACTTTGGGCCATCCTAGTTGCCCTCACGACAGCTTCAGGTCCCGTGCACGTACGCACTGACTCACAAATCGTTTCTCGGCATGTGAACTATTTGATCTCTGGGAGCGGAGTAGATAAAACATGGCCACTACAGGCATGGTGGAACTTCATGCACAACCTTTTTCGGCAACGTCTCGCGCTTCACGACACTCCCTTGGTTTGTTCTTGGATACCAGCTCATGTTGCTGAGGATATTCCAGAGTACTTGCTTTCGCCTAGCATAGCAGATGCACACGGCACAACAGTCCTGGATATCTTGAACAACCGACGCGCCGATGTTGCGGCAAAAAAAGCCGCTTTGGGTAATGCTGCCATTCATGCAACAGTATACCCAGCCTTATGTCAAGCTGTTCTTCATCGTCAACAATGGCCTACTGGTTTGTGCAAGTTGATTGGGAACACACTTCCCCCGCGTGAGTCAGATTCTGAGGACGAAATTGACAACAGTGCGCCGGATCCACAACACCGCTTTCCTCTTCTTCCTTGGAATGAAGATGTTGCAAAGTACCGTTGGCAGATTCCCTTTGAATTTGATCATACTCCACCTGCTTGCTGGCCGGCTGCGGCACATGATTGGTCGGTCTTCACGGCCTTCTTGAAAAGTCTGAAGTGGTTTGTACATGAGGACGCACGTATCTCCTATGCTGAGTTGGCCGTACTTCTTGTTGGAAAGCAGTTCCGTTTGGAAGCTTTTAACGACGAGTTTTACACTTTCAAGACCCTGATATGTTGTGTGAAGAAGTGGTGCGGACTTCTACTTCGGCGCGGATGGGGACCACTCTTTCCGGGCACCCATGATGCACATGAGCATAACGCCTGGGGAAAGACGATGCCCAGCGGCATTGTCGTTGGTGCGAGACCATGGAGGACGACTGAGGACCTTTGCTTTCTTACGTCTGTAGCGGACCGGGTCGTGAGAGCTAACCTCTCATCCTGGGAGTTTGCAGTTCATGAATTTTCAACTTGAACCTTTTCTTTGGTCTGTTTGTGGCCTGCTGGCTACCTTTTCGGGGTTTCTTTAGGTCATCTTGTGGCATGCAGATGACCATGTACAGAAGGGATGAACCCTTCGTGTGCGCGAGAGGCAGAAGAGGTTGTTCAATCTGTTTAGTTTAAGCTGCTGTACTTTTGGGTTTCTTTCTATGTCACCCAGTGGAATGCGGGTGACTCTGTACAGACGGACGAACCCGTCGTGTGCGCGAGAGGCAGAAGAGGTTGTTCAATCCATGTCTGGGGGGTTATGAATCAAAAGTCTACATTACGTGGGTGTGTAGGTTGAAATAGGACAACACCTCACCTGACCCCTAACAAAAGGGCTAAGAGACTTAAAGCATCTTAAAGCCCTTCAAAACCCATTGCCTAGTCTAAGATGCACCTGCATGTTTGCTTCCATCTGTGTGCGTTCTCACCAATTTACCGTTGGGTGCCAAGTCCCCCAACTTCCCTACCAAGGGATGCGAAGCAGGAGCTCACCCGCCATGCAGGAGTTGTATCTGGTTTACTGACAGGGCGAAACTTGCAAAATGTTTAGCTACACCACCAGGGTGTTTCGCATACTTGCATGGACCCCAAACTCGCAATCTTGTGAGTCGCTTTCTGCCTCTAACTCGCCACCTTTCCGCACAGCTTGTGAGTCCTTTCTTCGTCCGTCACGTCTCCGTCCTCTTCTTCCTCTGACTCGTTTCCATCCTCGCGGCGCTCGACTCACCGGGACCGTCGGGCGCACGGTCCGAACCGCCGCGGTGCGCGGAGCGGGGCCGCCCGGGCCTCGCGGCAAAAGGCCGGATCCAGCTGACTCCGTCGATCCTCCTGAGAGGAACAGGGAAGAAACGGCTTAGACGCACAGCGAAGACGCCCTCATGGGAGCCCTGTGCCTGATGTCCACAGCAAGTTTAGAGAAGCCCCAATCATGGCGAGTGAAGGTTCTGATTCACCAGATGTGCTGTTGCCAAAGGGACAAGATGAGTGGCTCACTGAAGCTCTCCCTGTGAAGAGAAGTTTCGCCTATAAAGGCTATACTATAGATCAATTGCATTCCATTGCCATCCTTTCAACATGCAGCTCACTAGGTGAACAAGCACTCACCAGGCCACCCAACCTCGAGAGTGTAGGTGTCGACATGATTGCACAGGCTCTCCTGCCACGAAAGACCCGAGAGACTCAACTCCAAGTCGTGTGCACCCCTCAGGCATGGCCTCACATCTCTTTTTCACTCTTGATCCACCAGTCAGGTGCCTAGGGAAACGCGTGCAAGAAGTGCAGTGATTCACGCGAAACATGTCCCGAAGTTCGCGGTGGGTGGCCGTTGTCGTTTGCTCCTTGTCCACCGTCGGGCTGTTGGTGGACATCATCCAACTGGAGGTCTGACACACCGAGATCGTTGGCATCTGAGAGATACCCGACGGCCTCGGTTGAACGGAGAGGTGGTCCACGCTGAGGTGCAAAAAAGAAACGACCACCAGGAAAGTGAAAGTCGGGAACCAGTGGTTTTCAAAAACACCTGGACATGTAGAAACATCTTCAACATGCGTATCCTCACATCCTTGAGTATCCTTGGGCTGTTGCGTTTCGAGTTCAAGTCAACCTGGATCACCTGGGGTGTTCTGTTTGACCCTGTGACCTGAGACGGCACAAAAAGACTGCTCCTGTTGGGCATGTTTGATCGACCCCAAAGACCTGTTTCGAATGTGCCATAGAGTCCAAGACTATGAATAAAAAGTTGTTGGGTAATTCCAAAATGACATCACAATAGATGACAATAGAACAAGTTTAGTTCTGAGATTTTGGACTCTGTGCAGAGTCAGATGAAACAACAGAGCTTCTGAAGAAGTCAGCACGCCTCGGATCACCTGAGACCTCCTGGTGCTCAATCCAAGCGAGCAGCGAGCGCTCTGCCCGAGCCGCTCGCAAAGCGGCTCACTCGTTGCGCCCAAGGAGCATGGAGGAAATGGACAGGTATGAGGCGACTTCAATGTCATCCGCCCACCTGGCCGTCAACCCAAACGACCCCCGTTTTGGTCTCGCGTTCGTGCCCTGAACCCGACCTACACGTATTTGGGGAACATTGCATGCAAAATCAACAACGTCGTCGTCGGCGTCGGCGTCGGCGTCGGCGTCAGCGGCGGCGGCGGCGGCGGCGTCGTCCTCCTCCTCCTCCTCCTCCTCTTCCTCTTCCTCTTCCTCTTCCTCCTCATCATCATCATCATCACTACAGCTGTGCATCCCCCTTGGAATTGTAACGTTGTTCGATGAGTGGCATCCCACCAGCCCCCTGCAACGATTCGCACGTAATCAAGACATGCCATGAAGCGGACGACATCGTGGTCGTGTTGGTACGATCCGTCAGCAAAGTGGGCATCGGAACCTTGTTGGGCAAAGGTGTGAGTGTGGGTCAAAGCTTTTTGTGTGATCTCTCACTGATCTCGCACACATTCTGAGGGGTACGTGTCCGGATGGGCAGGAGCAACATAGGTCAACACCAAACAGATTAACGACCACGGTAGCTTGACATCCCTGGTAACCCTAGAAGTCCGTTGGGAACACCGGGCCTTTGAACCCCTTCCGAAGATGACCAGTTGAGTCGACGGCAATTATTGGGATGTTCGATTGAAAACCATTTTCAGTGACCCCAAAGTAGATTGAAAAGGGAATTTTGCAAACTTGCTTTAAACAAATTCGCGTTCTGGAGCTGCAACCTCCTGAACGCATAGTCCCCATCGATTGAAAACAAGTCACAAGAGTCATCGAAACAATTCGAAACACTAACATCCGGAGGATCCGCTCTTCAGAACGCGCCGCGCGATCCCATGTTTTGGCTGCAACATGCGCCTACTCTGACGTCTGGCGACCTCCACCTGACCATGCCCTGGGAGTCCAAAACGATGTTGAAAACGAATGGTCTTTAGGTGGACCCCAAATCGATTCCTTTCCATCGGTGGTGTCAAATACCGAAGTCTTTGGACCGTCGCTGGTGCTTTTTCGTCACCCGGGACCCCGTGCAGCTGCTCGCTCCGCGTGCTTGGTACTATTCACCTCGGTGGGTCCCGCGGGGTCACGGTCCCACGGTCCATGGGATAGGTCCCGAGGGTTCGATGGGTTTCTGGTCTTCGGGGATCTTTGGAGTACGGAAGTAAGGCATTGGCATGATTAGCTTGACTGCTGGGGCTCATCATTTCCCGATGTTCGATATCTGCCCTTGACTCACAGATGGGTGTGAGGGAAAACCAAAAGAAGGAAAAGACACTCCCTGCGAGCCTGGCTGGGGAATCAGGAGAAGCTCTTGTGAGTGGCCTGTCAGCTTGTGAGTGAGATCTATCACGAAAGCGCACGCAGCCAGCTCACCCAGCACCTGTCACCGGACATCGGCAGCTTGGACAGAAACCCGGGACGCTGCTGTAGCCTTTATAGCATCCATCTACGCTTTGGCATAGAAAGGAAGGTCATTTTGCAAGCTGAAACCGTTCGTGTTGCCTCTTGATCCTCTTGCCGTTCGTTCCTTCCATGATGTCTTTCGTTCCTTCCTACACACTACTGGCCACTGGACTGCAAGTAGGGCGTCCTTGCTACTAGTAGCGATGCCCTCTGTTACTAGTAGCAATGCCAGGAGCTACTAATAGCGTCCTTGCTACTAATGCTAGGAGACAAGATCTTCCAGCATGTAGGTGCTCTGTGCATTTCCGCTTGGCCGGCGTCATTCCAAGGAGCCCTCATCGCCCTAAGAGGGGTTTCTTCTCAACCTCCTTTGGCACCCGGACACAGCCCATTGCTGCCGCTGAAGAGGCGGCACGCCGCACGGAACAAAAAAACTGTGATGCCAGTGGTACGGTTGGCTTGTAGAATTGATTCGTTCGCCCGAAGTGCTGAGTGGACGTCAAGGACCTGTTTGCATCCTGTCTGCACCGCTTGAAAATTGCACGAGAAAATTAGCTTCAAGCCGTGACCCAACGTCAAAGGAGTCAAAGGTCCTTCTACTGGACGCTCTCGAGCGTCCCTGGAGCCACTGAGCGCCGCTTCCCCATCTCAGGACGTGTGATGTGTTTTGGACAGTCCTGATTGAGTTAATGGCCAACGTCCGCAGAGAGCATGAACACGCTGAACATACAAACCGAGACGAGCGAATCGTACACCTTTCGTGGCCTCTGCATGTGATTGTATTCAAAGGCGCTCCTGCAAGGTTCACTCCAAAAAAAAACGCCAAAGGTCTAACCTAAACACTGCATGATGAGCCCTCTCTCGAAAACCTCACAGTGTTCAACAGGTCCAGACCTCGGAGCGCCACCGAGCGCAGACGCGAAAATGGATGTCCAAACACAGTGGGAGACTCCCCCCGTTGGACGCAGAGAACGCTCTGCCTCCGTTCAGCGCGTCGCTCTTTTCGGCAGCGAGTAGGGCTCCGTGGCTCCGTATGTGGCAGCTTTTGCGAGTCCTGGCCGAGTCTTTCACGTGAGAAGTCAGTGAACAGAAGAGCCCTAAGTCTCGGAAGGTTCGCTGGAATGGGGTTATACGTAGAATTATACTTGAGGCCGAGGGTAGGTGACGAAAGCTAGCAGGGATGCATCCGCGTCAGTGGAGGCGAAGCATACAGCGCCGTCCAGGGTCCAGGGACAAAGGACTGGTGGGACATCAAGCGGAGTGAGGCAAATCTTTTTTCATATGCATGGGGCTGTTGGAGGGATGGTTCACACGGTCTCGTCATGAGGTAAAACGTTGTGAACATGTAAGACACACGAACAGCAATGACACAGCCAACCTTAGCTTGTGAATCTGTTGCATCTGTTGCATCGTATCCCAAAACCTCCACGGAGGAGTTGAACCAAAGTGGATGCCATAAGAGGTGTCCAAGAGGTGTCCCAGAGGCGTCCCAGGGGGGAGTTGAACCCGCGGGGGGGGGGAGGAGAAGGGCACCTTTGATTCCAACAGGCCGATTCTTGCATGGAATCAACTGTGGATGCGTCATAGATCAATGGGCCTGAAACGCCATCTCTCTACGAATCATCGAATTCCACACCCAATCGACATATCACGAAAGCTAGCACCAGCTAGCTGGAGTTTTCCTTGCTTTAGCAAGTGAGGGGCTGTTCACCATTCACCGTGTATGACCATAGGCCCTCGGGGCGCTTGTTAGGAGTCCGCTGCTGATGGGGACGGAGTCGCTATCCCCAAATCCAACAACATCCAAGCGTCTCTCAGCTGTGGGCACGATGCCGAACCCACCGCACCCACACCACAGCCCTGTCCCCCCATCAACTGCACCTCGGGGTTTTAGTCTGCCTTTCCCTCCTGCAGGCGAATGTGAGGGCGTCACGGACTCGCCAACTCCTTTGGAGCCTCCCACCTGACTATCGGGTACCAGTGCCGAACAGTGCATGTGCTCTGACCTGTGGCTGAACCCACGCGTTCGCGCTTCGAGAAAGCTCCCCCCCGCCCTTGAAGCTATCCTGCGTCCAATAGCTAGGAGCTTACTTCCTTACTGAATTATAGAAGTAGGTGCCCACTTGAATAAGTAAGGAGGCAAGGCAGAGCGAGCAAAGAAAAATAAGGTTTGAAGAAGAAAGGTGACAAAAAAGCATCAGCAGGACGGTTCATCAGTCAGCACGACGGTCCGAAGAATCCCAATGGCTCCTTGGCAGCAGCAGCTTTTCTTCTCCAAACAGCCTCCGTTTCAAAGGCATTCATCTGACCCCCCGACGACCGATGACGTCCTAATAGGTATCAGCGGTGACACAAAAGCCACGACTGGGACTCCATGCGGGAATTCCCCGAAGCCGTTTTCCGGACTCCCATTGGTTTGGGGTATGTTGTTGGTTCATTCATCCACGTTCTTCAAAAATGCTAACCCTCTGCTGACTCCCTTAGTTTTGCTTGAAAAGAAAGGTGAACCCGGTGAACCGAAGGCTCTCCACCTGTTCTGCGTTTAGTGGCGTCTTCAATCTTGAAAAACGACTCGATCCACTGATCGGGTTGGCCACGGTGCAGAATCCATCCTTTCCTCACGCTTTCCCCACCTGTTCATGCAGTGTGGCCGCATCAAAGAGCATCTGCAAGGAGAAGAGGGACGCCAAGAAGCTAAAGATCTGCGGCTCCCGCAAAGCGAGCATCGCAGGTGTCAAGAGACCGTTGGATGTGGACCCCGTGTGGCCAGGCGTTTTCCAATCACGCCCAGCACATGGACTCACCGGGCTCGGTGTCGGTCTTGACTGGGTCTCGACTGGGTCATCAGGAGCTTGGGCATCACGGCATCCTATCGCCCAGATGTCATGACTTCATATGATCTCATGATCCAAATGTGTTCTTTCTACAGCCCACTGCTAGCAGCTAGCATTCTGCGCGGACCACGGAAAATGCCTTGAAGCAAGTGGCTTGATGGTTGCAACCCCTCTTTAGACCCTAAACTCCAGCAAGACCAACCCCCATAATTCCAAGACCCCCCTCTCCAGGCAATCACCATCTCAGGCCGTGAACCCACACGCTGGACTCCACATGTGGCCGGGCGGCGAGGGTGTAGATGGTGGATCTGGTGAATTTCTCAGACACCATCTGACAAGTCAGCAAGCCTTAGCCACAAAAAACAACACGTTCGACTTTCGAAAAGAACACCTGGTGACACAGATGTGAACTGCTTGATGAATAACCCCCCATATGAAGAGGTTTTGCGATCCATGTCTTGGGAGGTGTTATGAATCAGCGGTCAACATTATCTGGTGACCTAGAGTTCCCACTTCTATTAACCTTGTTCTGCTAAAAGAGAGGCCCAGGCGGAAACTTGGACCGATCAGAGCTGTTTTTCACCGATCTGAGGCCAGGGGAACAGCAGCGATGAAACAAGCCAAGACGGAGTTCCCGAACTCGAACTAAAAAAGAACCGTGACCTACACGGAACGGGAACCCCACGGAAGTGAATGCCATGTGTGTTTTCAGGGCTTCTTCGCGCGATTGTGGTTCTGCAAGAGGATGGTGGGCAGAGCACTTCCAGACCGAAGGCTCCAGGATTGGAGACTTTGTGTTTCAGAGAAGTCTGTAGTGGATCGATCAGGGCGTGGTCCTTTTCAGGAGTTTGCAGCTTCCACAGAAGCAAGCAACTGTCCCAGAGTATGAAAAGCATGGGCCACTGTCCCAGAGCCTCCATGAATGGAACCGCAGCTCCAAGTCGGAGAGGAAGTTTTCTGATCGGAAGACCCCATAGACAGACGCTTGGCTTGGGGGGAGGTTCCCAACGGCCGAATACAGTTAGGTTTCAATCTCTGGGGTGGGGTGTGGTATGACATATACTGTCATATGCGACGCTGGGCTTTACTGTCACAAATTTATCGGATCCACTATTCCAGAGAAAACGATGCAGGTCTTCCAAATTCCTTACATTTCCTTACAAATTCGGCTGCGAATGCGAAAGCCAAGCGAAGATGTTTTTTGCAAAATGAAAAAGTAATTTGCTGAGGAACTGTTCGCATCGCAGGCGCCCGCGATATCCGCATCAGTGTAGATGGTGCTATCACCTTGCTCCGTTGGTGCGCCAAAATCGCCGCCAAGCGCCGGCACCACGCATCATGAGATGGAAGGAATGGCAACGTAGAACATGTATTAACACTGCATTCTTTAAGAAGGAAACTGCCCTCTGCAATAGAAGCTGGGGCCGCTGCCGATGTTCATTTTGGTCAAGAAATCCCTGTGGCCACGAGGAACTAGATTTGTCCATCAACGAAGTTCACGAGCAATTCTGGTTGAGCAAAGGGTCCTGTTCTATGAGAGACCTTGCAAAAGTACTGATGTGATTGATGTGATGTCCTTGTTGTTGGTCCTGTTTCTTTCAATATGGTCCTGTTGTCCCGGCCTGAGTGTGGTCAGTCCACCTTCACAAATGCCTGCATCCTGCCGGTGTCCACCGCGCGATGCAAAGGTGTGATTCCATTATGTCGGCCACTTTGACTCAAAAGCACCTAAAAGCACCTGAGACACAAGGCCTTTCAGGTGTGGTTAAGATACCAGCATGATTGGTCCGTTTTGAGTATAGTTCAAGAAGAAAACAAAGACCGTCCCCTCGATCCAGTCGTAAATCCACAGCACAAATGTGCACCAGTTGCAGCTGTAGATCCGGGTGGGAATGTTTGGCACCCTTGAAGCATGGGGATCCCGGCCATCAGTTTGCAGCGTCGAACCCTAAGCTAGTACTTCACAAGCCACCAAAACCCATGTATTATGTCAATTAAAAAGTGACCAAATCAAAGACTGCAAATCAGTTTGCAAGCTGCTTCAAAAATGCAAAGCTTGCAAAGGGAGTCAGGAGGCTTCTGGTATAGAAACATGCAAAAGTACCAATGCTGAAAGGTTTAAAGAGCACGAACTCCGAGAAATGTCTGGCATTAATCTGCAAAGTCCAAAAATGTGAAAACTCCAAAGATCTAAAAGTGTTCAACTTAGAGATTGCTTTTGCACTTTTAGGTTTTTTGACTTTTCGGATTTTCGGATGTGTTTTTACTTGTTGAGCCCGGCGCTGGTTGAAACCAATTTCTGACCCTTCGACTAAACTACTGTGCCTTTTCAAGTCCGGGAGTGGATGAAACAACCTGGCTGACGTTTTGACTTTTCGGATTCCAACCGGAGACTGGAAAGGTTCGAGCCGTATGAAAATTTTCACAGACTGGGTTGGGCGGGGAGGGTTAAACATGAGGAATCCACCAACGGACTTGGCATTCCAACGATTGCACCAGAGTGGCTTGGCCTTCGTCGCCGCCCAAGGCTTGGAGGCAGCATGCGGCGAGCTTCTCGGGTGGCATGCGGCGTGCGAAGTGGAATGAGCATGAGAAGGATCTCCTCCAGGCGATCATCCTCCTTATCCTCCTTATCCTCTTTTGAGCCTGAGAAGGATCTCTTTCGAATTCTGGAAACAATCTCCGAACTGACACAGCATTCCTGCACAGGCCAGCGAGATGAAGGCCGGCAGCGCGGCACTAAGAAGACTGAGAACTGCATCCAGCTGATCCTGAGTCCCTCTGAGGGCATCCATTTCCCACTCCGATTCAATTTGTACTTGACCACCTGCATCCTCAGCTTGCGCTGTTCTTCTCTCGAAACAAGGATTTCATCAGCACACGATTCTGAAACTTGCAGGACTTGGATCAACTGGCGGCCAGTCACGCTTTCAATCTAGCACATCCAGTTGCCCGCCCTTCTTGAAAAGTTGCACTTTGGAGAGATTTGGATAGATTTGGATCATACTAAAGAGGAAATATCCAAAACAATAGCGGCTTTTCCGAGCCGCCTTCGATTTGAGGATAAACAAGTGAGCTGGGACTGCAAGAGGGTGATGGAAATACGCGCGGGTATTGTATACTGATGTTGTCCAACATCAAGTCAAGTATTTTCATGGGTAATCAGTCTGTGATTGGGTCTGGAAATGGAATGGATCTGCTGCCCTCAAAGCTGCCCCCAAACGATGTTATGTAATGTAGCCAAGCAGCGGTGCCCCGTCTACCAAGAACGCCAGCCAGGTTCGTATAGTGTTGGTGGCGTAACGCTTGTACAGTAATTGTATTCCTACGATTGCTTCCAGCTGTTTGTATCTCTACTATAGTTTCCAGCTGTTTGGGACTGGCATGTTTTTACAATATATAGTTCAATAGTTCCATATTCCCAGGTCACATGTGCATATGTCATGAGAAAATCCGAGGATGCGATCAAGAGTTTGACACGCTGCGCCACTGTTGCACTCATAGTCACATAAAAACATACCCGGAGGCGGAGAAAGGGAAAGCGGCTGCTTTGCAAGGGGACAAGGCCTGGTGAAAGGGCCAACGCGGACAAGCAAGACAGACAGAGCCGGACTAAAATTGGACAAGGCCGCAAGGCCTGCCAAAGCCTGGACAGCGCAGCGGCGCAGCGGCCTGGATTTCTGCCCTGGACATCCGGCGGAAAAGAAAGCGCACAGTGGGGCCATCGGTCTTATGGGCAGCCATTTCGGAATCTGCTTGGGGAACAAGCAGGAGTGTGGCCAGAGGACAGGAGGCAGGCGGACACCAGGAGAAGAGGAGTGAGCGGCCAGGACAGCAGGACACCACGAGGACAACAGGAGGACAACACCCGGACACTCGGTTCAGGGGCACAGCCAGAGACTCTGGCCAGTGTCTTCTTTCCTAAGAGAGATCCTCAACGGGAGGCTTTGGGGCACTGGAGAAGGCCTACCATGCCTGTTTATTTACTACTAAGTTGAATTAGATTCCAAATCAGAATTAAATTCTATTTATATATTGTTTCTAAATATTCTAATAGCTTCTTGTTACTACTAGTAAGGCCCTTTGCTCCTATTAGCGATGCACTTGTTCCTAGTAGCGAACATTGTTGAAATGTCAAGCCGAAGAGACGGCACCTTCACGACCAAGATTATCCGAATGTCTCCTTTCGCCTGTTTCCGCCACCCTATGGGACTATTCATTTACCAGGTTGGCTTCTCTGACTTTGGCAATGTCCTTTCATTCCTTTCGAGGTTCTTTGTGGGATCACCCACTTGAGTGGCACGTTTGGGTAAACAAACCAGCCAATGAATCTAACCTGGCCCTCTGCTAGTCATCGACCATTAACTGAGCCGGCATCCCTCCTCCAGGATGTACACCTGATTGCATCCGGTCAAGATCAAAGCTTTCACCTGCGAGCGCCGCGCCGCGCGGTCCATCCGCGCCGCGCGGTCGGGACCCCTCGTACGCCGCATGGGGAGTTGTCTCCAAACAGTGATGGGCACACCCCAGCGAAGACGGCCAAGACGATGCAAATCAGGAAGGTGATGAGAACCTCGCGAAGGCGATGCTCGCAAGTTTCGGCCAAAACGGCCCTACACCATGAACATGCAACCAAAAGAGATTAATTCCTCCTACATGTGGAATCCACTGGGTGTTGGGTCAGGGCCCGGTCAGGGCGGCAGATCTACTTACAGACGCTCATGCCTCTGACCAAAGTTCAAGTAGATGAAGTAGATCATTTCCACACCATCGGCCAGCGAGGTTCCCATGAGGCATCCGATTCATCCAACACGTCTGAGCACTTTGAGTCAAAACCTCTATGAGGACCCCAGAACATCATTTTTGAAGCAAAATGCCTGATGGTAGGCCAAAACTCCTGGTCCAAATGATGATACAAGTGGGTTTCCTCCAGCAGGTAAAGATAGAAAACCAACCAGGCTCAGATTTGAACTGCTTTCAATCTGGCGGTGCCGGGGGGAAGAAGCAAGTTCGGTGCGGTCAGGGACACAAGCAGTTTGTCCGGCGACCAGTCTCTGACAGCTGAGGAAGCCACGATGACCTGCATAAAAATGATCACTGACCAGAAGCAGAGACTGCTATCGTGAGAATAACAGCCTCAGGAAGGCAAGCTTCTATGACGGCGGTGCTCTTTGGTTCAGATCAGAAACCTAAAGATACTGCCAGCTGATCTGGTTGAAAAAGTTCATACTGCATGTCTTTTGGAGTGTGCGAAGTCTCTTTCTTGATGCACCCAGTTCTTTGGTCTCAATGGTTTTGACCATCAAGGAGCATCACATCAACTCCAGTGGAACCATGTGATCCCATGCGGCTCCATGTGAGGCTCCTGACAGCTTCAGCTTCTGAGGCTCCTGACAGCAGCTGCAGCACTTGGAGAAAAGCAAGCGGAAGCGTTGCCACAGCGTCTCCGGTGCCTGGAGCGGAGAGATGAGCGGAGAGATGCACGACCTGCAGAAGGGATAGGAGTGGCGAAATACGGGGATTCCCATTGCTCCCAAATAGCCGTGCGTTTTTTCTTTGAACCAAGAAGATCCTTGTCACCTGCTACTGTTGTACCAGAGCAACCCTAAAAATGTGTCCATGAAACTTAACTGGCTAGAATCAACATCTCTCAACCAACCTTCACCAATTGGAGCGTGTGTGCTTCGCCCTCCTCTCCGACCCCCCCGCGGGCGCACAGGTGGCTCGGGGCTCTCTGGATAAGGCTTGGGACCACCAAACCAGCCTCGGGCGCATGGTCGACCATCCAATGTCAGTGCCAACTACATACCCAAATCAATAGAATTATGATAGAATTATATATTATAGAATGGGATTCCTTTTTTTCTGACCCACAACCCTTTTTTTCTGACCCACATCCTTTTTTTCTGACCCACAACCCTTCTTTTCTGACCCACAACCCTTCTTTTCTGACCCACAACCCTTCTTTTCTGACCCACAACCCTTCTTTTCTGACCCACAACCCTTCTTTTCTGACCCCCAACCCTTCTTTTCTGACCCACAACCCTTCTTTTCTGACCCACAACCCTTCTTTTCTGACCCACAACCCATTTTTTCCGACCCACAACCCTTCTCCTTTCTTTCTGACCCAGAACCGCGATCCGCCCGCTTTCTTTTTGACCCCTAGCCGCATAGCCCTTTTCTATAGCGACCCTTCTTCTTTCAATTGGATCCGCAAGCCTTCAGTTTTGATCCATATATCTCGTGAAGTAAGGGCAGAAATAATTACATTAGACAACACAGTCAAAAACAACATTGCTCAACACTTATTACAGGCTCAATGATTAAAATTAGCTATTTCCGATGTATCACACGATCACTCAAACCTTCAATGCTAGAGGTGGTGAAATTAAGCTGAGTATTGTAAAATAATCTTCTAAATTGACTGGTGCCTTCATCAGCTTGTTTAGAGCACCTAGAAGTGACAAAAACCTAAAGCGTTTCTTGCCAGATATGTATACAAGCGATGGAACAACTTCTACAATCCAATGGTATATGGAAGAATTAATGACACAGGGGCCGCCAACACAGAAGACTAATATGGTAGAGGTTTCCAAGATGCAACACGTAATTTAAGTTGGCAAATTCAATTGAGCAACTCACAGAAATATCCAGAATTTGAAAGTCAAAGTTTATCAGAAGCGTTTTGTTATTTAAGAAGAGCTATACATTACATGAGCCCAGACCAAAATAGTTTTTAAGTTGTTCTTATCAACAATACAGAAGTAATAAATTCGTTATAGGTATGTCATTTGAGAAACTGGCGGACGTCAATGTGACCGGATACAACGCAAAAATGTCGGGAATTACAAATTTCACAATTAAGGGAACAGAAGGAGCACTTGACCCTAATGAGCAATTTATGAGGTTTTCGGCCACATGCTTTCATAGACTGTTCTGGAATTGAGAGAAAGCGGAAGTGTTGTACATGATGAAAAATCTATATAATACTATATCCAATGATGAAATACGAAAAAATGCAAAGACTGGCAACCGTGTTCATCTTCAAAAGCAGTTAATGAACTTCAGCCCCTTTGATTTGAGGGATACTTCATACCTAGACCATTTACATACAGAATCGAAATTAAGGCAGTCAAGGGAAGCAATGCTTTTATTAAGAAAAGACATGATAGAAGCGAACAAGAGGTCTAATTATGGACAGAATAACTAATGAGTTATCTCCTCCAAACTTACCTTACATGTCAAAGCAACATTTAGAAGACAGAGTTAAACCACTTAAACATCTGGCGACATCCTTCTCTAAACTTCCCCCTTGGGTGGCTCACCAAAGGGT